GATGAAGAATTGAAAAATATTCGAAATTTCATTTTTGCATTCTTTTATTTCCTACGTCTGTTGGGAAGAGTTCAAGAATTACTCTTTATGAGCATTTCAGTGCAGATCGGCAGCAATAAAGTAGACAGCATCAGAGAAGTGTTTGTCCTGAAGACGGAGACGCAGCAAGATATGATTAAAATCCGTAGAGTTCTCTTTAGAACAAATTGGACACCCCGACACCAAAAAAATAAAAAATAATAAAAAAAATAAATAAATGTGTAAATAAATAAATAAAATAGCACCATATAAAAAGATCATGTAAAAAAGAGATATTTGACCATGTAGTAAGTCTTTATAAGTAATAATTTTAAGATTTGCAACCTGATTATGCCTCAAAAGGATTTTAGGAATAAGTCCATACATAAGATTTTGGGTACATAAGATTTTGGGTCTTGGGTATTATGCAGATTTTTAACTGCTTATTTTTATATTTTCAAAAAAATTATAGCAAAATCAAAATAGCCTTTATTTCAAAATTAAAAACAATTTAAGTACTTGAGACACGTTTCATAGGCAATTAAATAGAATGTCTGTTAGTAAAAAACTTCTAGATGAAGTTTTTTTAAGCCTAGAAGAAAGAAGTTTTCTCAATATTAAATTTTTCAATGAATAGCTAATCTATCTCTTTTAAGAATCAAAACCTTACGATATAACTTATGTACGTTTCACGTAGTTTTCTGAATTCAATACATATCTGAGAACTGATTTAAGCAAAACTGAAAAACAAATAAATACGTTTAAACTATCAAGGAATAACCAATATGAGATGGTTTAATTTGAATATGGTAATGCAAATGTAAAGAAAAAAGTACAAAACAACTCTTAAAACTGCAAAGAAACATTTATTTTTCAGTTTCTAAGTTTTAAGCAGATACTTCAGTTTCATTTTTTTTCTTTTTCGTATTTTATCTGCTTCTGTTTCCTTTGAAATTAAAAATAGAAACATTTTAAAATGATGCTGCTTCTATAATAACATGCTATATAAATATAAAAAGGTAAGGTAATATAAAAGTTTTAAAATTGCACATTAAATATTTAACGTAGAAAGAGGAAATAACTTACAAAATTTTAAAAAAAAGGAGAAAAACATTCGCAATGTTCAAAAAATATGCCATAATTCTGAAACAGGCTTAAGCTGATTTTAATAATAAATGTAAAACACGTAAATTTATAATTTAACGTAAAACTAAACTAAAAACGTAATTTTTTCCTAATTTCTTAATGATAAATCTACACATTTAATAATTACAAATTGACTGCATCGACAAAAAAATGATAAATCGTCATGCATTTTTATTCAATGATAAGCATTGCATATTATACCAGTTTTACTTTCGCAATCGCCCAGAAATTAAATTTCCTTCCAAGCACTAACAACCATCGAATAAATTTCGATAGCTAAAGCTGGCTTTTCCAATTGCAGTATTTTCCATTCATCCGTTTCCTTCAGAACTAAAAAGTTCGAACAAATGTAGTTCATGGTATCTGCTTTCAAGTCCTTATCGTATAAATCAGCACACTTTAAGATCTGTAGTGCAGTTTCAAATGAAAGATTCAACCTTAAATAGTTTGTGCAAATATCCCTTAGTCCCTTGATTTGATAAGCTCTTGCTGCATACATTAAATCACAAGCTTTAGACAGAGTTAGATTTTCTACCTGAGCAGCATAGATGAAGGAAAGGAGATCACCTAATATCACAGCATCTAAATCCTCTATAAGAACAATTTTGGATTCTATTGTAGAAAACATAGCTTCGAAAACTGAAGATCTGGCAGAGAGAATAAACTTATGTGCCGGTACAGTGACATTGCCACATTTCAAAGTGACATCAGAGAAAGCCCCCGTTTTCATAGCAGACATCAAATCATTGGATAAAATGTTTGAAGAATCAGATAATATGCCAAGATCACGAATTTTTGTGCCACCTTCTATTTCTTGCAAATTCTGTTTGTATTTAGTTACTGAACGCCTCATACTATCATACTCTAATTGAGACAGTTCATTCTCGCTATCAGCAGATGTTTTCTGATATGTAGGTACTTGCTGATTAGTAGATCCGTCAAGAGCAGAAGATGCTTTACCATCAGTCCTTACATTCTGATTGGTGGATGCTTCAGAACCAGACGATACTTCACTACCAGCCAATATTTTCTGATTAGTAGATGCTTCAGAACCAGATGATGTTTCACTATCAGCCCATACTTTCTGTCCAACAGATTGTTCTACTGAAGTTATTTTAGCTTCTGGTTGCTTCCCCTTCAAGGAATTATGAGACATGTAATTTTTGGCGTTTATTGTTGCAAGCAATACCGCAGAAAAAGCCATAAGGAGGCACAATGAAATTATCGCAGCATTAACTAGATAATTTTTCATTTCTCTGAATATTTTTTCCAAATTTAATTGAAAAATCAATATTTGAAAACGAAGTTGAAGTAAATAAAAATTTAGGCTTAAGTACAATTCATTCATTAAGTTTAGTATAAATTCACAAAGCTTATTCATTCTATCGTATGTTTCATTACATGAGTTAGTATCAAAAATGCAGAATTATAAGAGGATCGATATACATAAGATTTTACATACAGTATATTGAATTTGAGCTCATAACACCTTTTTATTCTACCGTTTAAAGAACATTTAAAGGTCTGTTTTTATCACCAATAGATATTAATTCATTTGAATTGATAACCAAGATTTATCTAGAATTCTCAGATAAATTGTTTGTATGATATCAAGAATAGCAGTTTAGGTTTCATTAAAGATATACTTGTGTAATCCTATATTTTTGTTCTGAGAGAAGAGTTTAGGTTATGCAATTTAGGTTATACTCATTATCTTATTTCAACTGTTGAAACCCAGGGCAACATAGATTCAAAAGTTTAATATTTCATTCAGCATAAATAAAAGTTATTACAGTTTATTTAGAATATTTTACTTTACTTTCACGTTTAATTACAAAATAATAGCCGCTGATGAGACAAAGTTTCTTGGTTAAAACTGCCCGTCAACTAAATGCTAACAGTTTGAGGGAGCAGACAAAAAATATGCTTAATAATTACTGCAGACGATTATTTAATCAGAGATCTAAGCGTTCTTTCTCTGAATTAACATACCGTTCCTTTGACGGATTCGAATTTCTGACCCCTAAAATATGGGGGTAATTGGAATCTGGAAAATATGATCTTCATAGTTAGATAACGAGAGCTTTCGTGAGTTTGGATAACTTAATATTAGTTTCCTTTTTTGAGTATATCCTGATAGTTTTTTTTTAAGTGAAACAAAAGATATTTGCATAGAAAATTTGTTTTGTCAACAGAATAACATAAATTTGAAATTATATATATAAATTCCATTATTAAAAAGGATAAATAAAAATACACTTAAAAAATAAATTAGATGAAAAACAAATTAAAATTTGCTTTTTCACAATAAAAGATTATTTAACAAATTAAGTGAGTTATCATGCAGCTTTATGTAAAAATTATAACAAAAAAGCCTTACCAATTTACCAAAATTTATAGCAAAATAGCGAAACTCATTGATCTTAATATTTTTAAGGTTGTTTTGAATAAAAATGACCAAACTTTAATTTATTTTCAGTATTCAGAGCTCTTAGCCTTTATAAGAATTTAAAAAATTTTCTGAAATTAAAATTTTCCTTTTTCTAAATTATGAAATAAATTATATTTTTTAAAAAATTTTCTGAAAATAAATTAAAGTAAAATAACTGAAATATGTATTTTCGAAGTTTAAAGCAGTATTTTTTTTTTTTTTAAATTTAGAGAAATATTTTTAAATTTCAAAGGAAAAAAATTTTAAATTTTAATCCAGGAGAAAAGTGCTATCAAATTTTAAGCTTTACTAATTAAGTACAATCATTCAATACGGAAAAACACAAAACCAATTTTAAAGAAAATTTTTTTCTTTCTTTTTGATCGACCATCAACTGCAATTTTTTCAAGAAATAAAGAAATTGATTTGATCATGATTTCCAACATTTTTGGGTTTTGGATCTCCTAAAAAATGCATATTTTTTCATCTATTGTAAAATAAATAAATAATAAACTCTTGGCATATTTATGGTTATTAAACTGAATTAAAATTGAGTTTCACCAATTTTTTGCACAAATTTTGATTTGGCCATCATTAGTTTCTTGACTAATTAAAATGCTTTAAATCCAAAGAGACTGACCGTAAGTTTCGTAATTAACAACTCGGCAGACGCGAGTTAATTGGTTTAAAAATTGGTTAAAAATTAAATAATATTAAAAGAGATTTCTTTTTTGACATTTTTCGAGCTCTTGTCGAGTGATACAATACGGATGTTTTTAATGCTTTTTTGGATTGAGACAATTTGAGATGCATAGAAATTAATAAGGATCAAATAAAAAATGTGTAAAAGTTGTTGATACATGTCTGTCTGACAAGTTTTGATACTGTAGATGAGTGGTCAGGTAAAAAAACCTTCTCTTCAAGCAAACTGAGCAGGTTTGCATTCTACTTAATAATTCTAGTGCTATCTATATAAAGTTTAAGTGTGGGTTCTCAAAAACATGCTCTTATATCTTTACTGTCTGTCTACTCTTTTGCCTTTTTACACATTTTCAACTTTGTTAAAAACAATTCAAAAACTAGTAATAGCGAAACATATTTCTATGTGAAAGTGAGTAAAACTTTGATGAAATGCTTGTAACAGTAAAAACTAATAAATATATATTAACTAAATCTTATTCATTCGTAAGATTTTAATTCATTGTATCAGTTCGAATACCGAATAAAATGTATAGATTAAATCCTGCAAGTTTTTCTTTTCAGAAATTTTTTTTATCAAAATATTCCTAAGCGATTAGCAGCAGTCACATTTAAATGTATAAAAGAAAATGATTAAGCTTATTACTTATATAAAAAATATTCAAAAAATTTCTTTTATTTACCTTTTGGGCTATTTTTTTCATATTTAATTCACATTGGAACTTTCATTATAGGAGTAAACTTCTAATGCCAAAGTAGGATTTTTCAGTTTGAGATCTCTCCAGTTTTCTGTTAATTTTATTTGTTCATACTGTTCTTTAATGTAACTCAAACAATGTAACTTCATTTGCTTGTCAGATACATGAGCTATTTCAAGAATTTTAATTGCATTTGCACAAGATAAAATTGACTTTAAATATTCTATACATCCCTCTTTCAACCCTTCGATTTGATATTTCGCTGCCGCGTGCAGAAGATCGTAAGCCATTGCTTCAGATTCCATTTTCAATCGACCAGAATACATGAAACTGACCATTGCCCGAAAAATAGATGGATTTATATCTTCGATGACTACCCTGTCCAGTTTACTAGTAAGGTTATTATTTGCATAAATGGCTTCAAAAACTGGAGACTGGGAACTGAGAACACATTTGTGAGCTTTCAGAGTTATGGAATCGCATACTAAAATTGTATCTGTCATGTATTCTTTCTCAAACATTTCTTGAAAGCTTGCGGATAAATTGTTCAATTTCACAATTTGAAATTCTTCTGCAACATCCTTATTCTTTGCCGCCTTGCTTTCAAATATGAAAAAGAAATCCAACTTGTAATCTTCCATTGTCGCAACTTTTCTTTTTCTCATACCAGGGAGAAAGATAACATTTTTAGTTTGCAGCACAAGTCCATAAGAAACCACTTTGACTAACAACTTAACTTCGTCCTCAACTTCTTTGTTTTCTGAATACCTCCTTAAATAGAAGTTCCATGCTGTGCAGTTATATTTGCAATTCCTAACGATTCTCAATTCCCATGTGTTATTGAGGACATCCCCTAAGACTATTACACGCCTCATATTGCTTTTTCTATAGTACCACGTTAATACTTTCTTTTCCATCTTGTTTAGAAAGAAAAAACTGATTTGTTTTGAGAGACTGAATTAAATGGCTTTATCTTTCTAGGAAGAATTTGATTTTACTTTTATGCAACCATCTACAATTTCAATATACATTCGTCTTATCAAATGTTATTATCAGCGAGTATTGCATGTCAAGTTAGTTGATAAGATTGTTATTTTGTTTGATGTTTATTAAACAATGATCTTGTGACATTATCATTCTTTTTTGTCCCTAATAAGCATATTTCTTTTATTGCGTAAACTTTTATCTCGTCAAGTTTTCTTTTTGTTTAACCCTTTGGCGCAGAATTTTCATAAAATAAATTTTCTATAATTGTACATTACTTCATGTGAGTTAGCCCATCTATTCATTCTTCAATCCTGATTGCCCATTGTGCAGCTTTGGTACAACGTAAATAAAGTACTACTACTGATGAAACTTACCAAACTTTAGATAAAGGGGATTTTATCAATGAAGTGAAGGTAGCCAGTTCTCAATTATGACAAAAAAATAAATAAATAAATACCAGAAACAACACATATTCGGAATAACTACCACGAAAATCCTTCATAGAGAAGAAAATAGTTGTTAGGCTAAAATTTCCTCTGAATGGTAAATGCATATTAGTTTAATGCAAAACTCGTCAAACAAAACTGTTACTATTCTCAAAAGTTTTTCAAATGGTTTGGTTCAATATACAAAGCTACAGAAGTGAAATTTATTCACACAGGAGTGCACTAGACGCATTCCTCATAAGCTCCACAATGTTAAGCTCACCACAGGTTTTTCACAAATAAGTAAGTTTTTATTTTTTACACAAAAAAAATACTCTATCTTAAATAAGACCTAATTTGATGAAGAGTTTTTAAGTTTAAATTTGCTAAATAAAGTTTATTTTGCCACACTTTTTAATTAACTGCAAAAAGAATTTAAATACAACTAGGTTTTGCATTTAATAGAAGATGAATGTACGTAAGGAAGTTAGTAAGCTTATCGCTTACTTCATAGCCTTCTACAGTAAACAACGGGATCGGAGTAAGTTTTTTAACACTAGATTGCCTTAAGGAAGTCATTTTGACAGCTTTTAATTTCAATTAGAAAAACAATGATGTCTATAATGACACAATTTCTTAGAATTTTGCGACTTTTTGTACAACATATAATTTTTTTTATTGTTAATATTTACTAAAAACTTGTTAAGTAACTGTAAATAATATAAAAAATGCTAAAAAATTAATTTTAAACAAATTTATTTACGCATTCACAATCCTGTCATTTTGACTGCTTTTAGGCAATATAGGTATATCCTAAATTTCCGTCTCTCTAGTGTTAATCTTGTCTTTCTACTTGAAAGAGTAAAATAAGAATTAACGAGAAAAAAAATGCGTTACAGGTTCCAATATCAACTCAGAATTTCCTTATTTCTAATATTTTCATAGCAGTTTATTAGAGAATTGAATTTTACATGCTATTTCATAACATGCATTCTACAGAGATTCCAACTGCTCCGGACACGCCAAAATAATTACAAAAACGGTAAATAACTACAAACTAAATTTTGCAAATATTTTACGATTTTTGCTTGCTTTTTAAAAGGTATAGCATGACATAACTACTATAAAGTGGTGAATTATGTTAGCCTACGAATTATTTAGAAATAGTGGTGGATAAAAATATACTAAATTGAATTTATTAAACCGAGAATCACAATTGATAAACTACAACTTTAAAATATTTATTTGCTGTCCGGAGCAAGTTGGCATCTCTGAATTTCTATAACAGTTCTGATCACCACCGAAAAAAAACTTTTAGAAAACGCTGATTTTCTGCTTATTTTGAATCAATGCTTTAACTTCTATTGTTACGTAAAACATAAAGCAGTTAGTTTTATTAAAACAAACTTATAAAAGTAAGTAAATAAGTTGCAATTGTAGATTTAGCGTTCAATAATTGTATAGCTGCAACTAAAGAATGTAATATAATTAGGTAATATGCTACTGTTACTTTTAAATAAAGGTGCATCACTTAGTATCCCGTTTAAATTTTAAACATTTCTAGATTTAAATTTGAAAAAAAAAGAACTATCAAAATCACAAACGTAATAGTAAAGGTTAATATCAAGAAGGGATAGTAAATAAATATTACCAGTAAATACCATTAGAGCATACCATAGAATCATGCAGTTTAATGACGTTTGTAATCTTTGAAAACGTTTGTTTATTTTATGCTGACGACCGCGTAAGATACCTGAAGTTTCTTACTTTGCTAAGAATAATATCAGGCAATTTTTCTGTTAAATAACATTGTATGAGATGGCAAGATTACAATTATAAGATAGATAGAGAAATAATTCAAGTTAATATCTTTTTAAATTTACATTTTGGTTATAGGTTATGCCATAAGTTATACAGTGATAATTTTTTTACATTTATTTATAATGCAAAAAATTGACCTCATTAAAGGCATTTAACACTCTCAACATCATTTGCGCAGTTAAAAAATTATTGAAAAATTGCGCTTGATATCTGCACTCACGGAAATCAACAATATCTTTAATAAGAAAATGAAGGTATAAGAAGCTTAAACTTTAATCATAAAGTAAATATTCAAATTCCTATTCAAATCTTACTCAAAATTATATAAATATTATTTTAAAATAAAGGGTCACTATAACAGTGTATTGTAAGTGCACTATTCACTTAATGGAATGTTTTAAAGTGAATCAGTTTTGGTTTCTTAATATTATGTAATGATATAAAAAATTTATAAGTTAATGATGTGAAAAAACTCAAATAAAAAAGTAACTATTTTTCTTTTATGTATCAGAATTAATTTTAAGTAACTTGTAAATAAACGCAAGATCTGCAAAATTTATTAATGCAGTAAGTTTTGTTCTAGTTGAGTTCATATGAGCATGTTGAAATTAGAATAAAAACAATCCAAATTAATGTGTTAAAAAATAGTAAATTTATAATCATGTTTTGCTTCAAAGACAAAAAATATGTTATTGAACAAGAGATATTTTTTGCATACAAATTAATTAATTAATTATTAAATATATTTTTGTACACAAATTAATTTATTAAAAAATTACATTTATTTATATACAAATAATTTAAAACTTTAAAAAAATTGCAAAGAAATGCTATCAAATCTTAAAGATAAATGTGATTAATTCTCTTACCAAAAACTTAATAAAAATCGTAAAGTGTTGACTTTATATCAACTTTTAAGAGAAATTATAAAAATATCTAAATTAGTTTATGAATCAAAAATAGTAAACTTCAAAAAATGCTTCTCTTCTAAGATAAACTTTAATTTTTTATATCAAAAGAAAACTATAACTTTTACAAACTATAACAAAATAAACAACATAGTAACATAGAAGTGCCAAAATTTTTTCAAATAAAGACAAACGTATTTAAGTTTTTAAACCAAACATGATTGAAAACTCACACAGAATGTTTTTCTAATAGTCAGCAACTTATGAAGATGGTAAATAAAATTTACCTTTATATCACTCAGCAGCACTACAAACTTCCAATGCAAGCTTAGAATTCTTTGATTTAAGATCATCCCATTCTTGTGTATTTTTTAATACATCAAAATTTTCTTTAACACAATTTAATGCATCTAACTTTAAGCTAGAATCATACAAATTGGACACCTCAAGAATTTTAACCGCATTTTCCTGCGACAACTTGGATTTCAAGTAATCAACGCACCCTCCTTTCAGCTCTTTAATTTGGTATTTCTCGCTAACGTATAATAAATCAAAAGCCATCGTCATAGAGGCGATTTTAACTTGGCCACTATAGAGAAAACTGATGGCTGCTCGGAACACGCAAAAGTCGATGTCCTTCTCAACAACAGTGTCATTCCTACTCTCTTGCATTGGACTAGCAAACATGGCTTCAAAAACTGGTGATCTAGCGCTTAGGACAAACTTGTGTGCCTGCAGGACATCATTTCCACATTGTAGAGTCACATCTGTTAAGTGACCTTTATCAAACATGGCTTGGAAATCATCCGCCAAATATTTGAGCTTTGATATAATTGTCTGTTCCTCAAATACATTTCCTGTGGAATCAGTTTGTGGGAACCTGAGGATGCAATCTAGGTTGTAACCAGTCAACTTCCGTGTGTTGCAACGAAGTGATTCCGATCCCATGGTGCCTCCACCGAAATATATATCTTTATCCACAATGATTGTGGTACTTGACACCAACTTGACTCTTAAGCATACAGCGTCCAATCCTTGTTCTCTCCGGATTTCAAATTCCCAGCTCGTGGAATAGCTGCGATCATCATACATGGTTAATGGACTCTCAACTGAATCTCGGGAGACATTAATGCTTATGTACCATACAGAATTTAGTTTAGAACCAAGACGTTCTTTATATCGGCCTTCAGATGAAATTACTTTCATAAATTTTCTTCTATTGCAAGACCAAATTAGAAAACGATCACTCATTTTGATTTGAATGCTAAGTTTAATCAAATAATGAATATTCAGGTTATTTATCATGTGCAGGACTAAATGGGGAGTATTTATTTCCTTTGTATTTTTATCAGCACCTTCCCTTATCAGGAGAGAAAGAAACAGACAAAAACGATTGGCTGCATGATACTTGAATGCATAATCTTAAGGATGCAAAAGAATATTTTTATGCAAATAAAATAATATCTTTGCGGTTGAAAAAAATGCGATAAAACTATACCTGTGGTTAAAATGCTTGATAAATTATGTTATTCAAATAAACAACATTGAAAAAAAAACACTTTAAAAAATATTGATAGAAAATTGAAAATGAAATGTTTTTTTTTTATAAATTTTGATTCAACTACTAGTAACTGTTTGACGCCCGGTGGCTGACCGGTAGCGCTTCGCGCTGTCGTGCCACAGGTCCCTGGTTCGATCCTCAGGCCGGGCAAGGTTGACTCAGCCTTTCATCCC